TTGGTGCACCTTTGGGCACGGATGAGTTTATAGAACAATTTGTCCAGTCCAAGGTCGCCACCTGGTGTGAGGAAGTTGCGCAGCTCACGACCATCGCTGCATCGCAGCCACAGGCCGCCTACTCCGCCTTCACACAGGGCCTGCAAAACAAGTGGTCCTTCCTCTGCCGGACCTCCTCCATCCCGCCATCCTTGCTTGAACCGCTGGAACACGCAATCAGCCGTCGGCTCATCCCGGCCATCACGGGTCAGGCTCCACCTGGGACAACTGTTCGCTCCCTACTCTCTCTGCCTTGCCGGCTTGGGGGACTGGGTATGACAGACCCTTGTTCAGTGGCTGAACAGTACACCTCATCCCGAAGGATCACGGCTAGCCTCGTGTCTCGCCTGCTGGAGCAGGAGTCGTCTCTTGGCGACTCTCTGACTCAGCTCCGGACGGTCAAGGCGACGGTTCGGGCCGAGAAGCGGAGCGCGTTCAAGTCTATGGCTGACGCTCTTCGCTCGGATCACCGGGAGCTGGCCCCTGTTCTCGACCTGGCCTCAGAAAAGGGTGCATCCAGCTGGCTGACCTGCCGCCCCCTCAGCCGCCATGGTTTCACACTCAGCAAGGGAGATTTCCGGGATGGCCTGTGCCTCCGGTACGGCTGGACACCTCCTCGGCTCCCAAGCCTCTGCGTGTGCAGTAAGCCGCTGAATGTGAGTCACGCCCTGTCGTGCCCGTTTGGTGGCTTCCCGACGCTGCGACACAACGAGGTGAGGGACATCACCGCCAGAGCTCTGAGGCAGGTCGCTCACAACGTGACAGTGGAACCCCACCTCCAGCCCGTCACCGGAGAGGCCTTCCGCCATCGCACAGCTGTCACGGAGGAGCAAGCTCGGCTGGACGTTGCGGCTAGTGGTGTGTGGGGTGGCCGATTCGAGCGCATCTTTATTGATGTACGGGTGTTCAACCCTTTTGCGTCTTCGAATCGTGCCACCTCCCTCGCTGCTAGCTACAGACGCCATGAGCAGGAAAAGCGCCGGAAGTACGAGGAGCGAGTACGTGAAGTTGAGCATGCCTCCTTCGTGCCCGTTGTGCTCTCTGCCTCTGGTGGCTATGGCAAGCATGCCAATGCTCTTTTCACGCGGATCGCCTCTCTCCTGGCTGAGAAGAGTAAGGAGCCATACGGGCAGGTTATCTCCTTGCTGCGCTGCCGCCTTGGGTTTGCCCTGGTGCGTTGTGGTGCTATGTGCCTGCGTGGCTCAAGGAGCATGTTTGCTCCTGCCATGCCTGAGTCCCCTGCTGTGCTAGTTGCGGCGGAGGCACGCATCCAGTGAACCTGCACAGTGCAGTGATCCTACTGAGTGACAGACTCTGTAAATACTGTATATGATGATTCGTTTTTATATATGTGTTGATTCTTCACAAAATGTGTTATTTTGCCCGTACAAGAGGCTCAGTTTTCCGTGTGAAAAAAAAAAAAAAGTGTACAGTACGGGATTGGTGCGTACATGACTGGAAATATTGATTATATAAACCAAAGCAAAAGTCGATGACCCAGCATCGTCATCAGCAGCAGCTTGATCGTCATAAGCAGCATCTGCAAGCTACATCAGCAGCATCATCAGCATCTTCAGCAAGAAGCATCATCAGCATCATCATGGCCGGTTCTACAAAAGAAAGTCTTCCATCTCTGCAAACCAACTACAAACCGCTGGGTAAAGAGGTGAAAGTCAAGGACTTGGATGCGTACTTGGTTGGCCAGGGTACCAGAGCACTGATTCTAGCCTATGACATTTTTGGATTTGGTGTCGCGAACAGCAGAGCAAGAGCTTTCTGTGACCAACTGGCTAATGAAGGGTTCCTGGTGCTCATGCCTGACTTCTTCCGAGGCACAGCGTGGCCGGCGGGCAAACCGGTCGATGACGGCATGGTGACTTGGCTTCAAACCATTCCAGACACCCAACTCATTGACGACGTCCACTCCAAGATCATCCCATATCTTCGCCTACAGCACAGTGTCAAGTCCATCGGCATGGCTGGCGTCTGCTGGGGCGGCTGGCTGGTTCAGAGAGTGTCGTCCTTAGTCGGTGCCCTGTCCTGTGGCGTGTCCTACCATCCGAGCTTGCAAATGGAGGAGACAGTCTATGGCGGTAGCGTGGACAAGATTTTGAGCGATGTCAAGTGCCCGCAGCTGCTCATGCCCACCGGGAACGATCCGAAAATGGCGCAGGAAGGTGGTCAGGTGATCACAAAGCTGAAAGGCTCAGACATTGAGCGTGTGCGCGACGGCAGCCACATCCACGCCTTCGCCGACATGGTGCACGGCTTCATGATGAAGGCGACGGTGGATATTAGTGACGAGAAGGTAATTCGTGACGCCACTTTAGCGTTCCGTCTGTCCGTTGACCACTTCAATAAGTACCTGGTGGAGGAGCCTAGTTATGAACATGTTGCTCCCTCGGTCGCAACTATTCATACACCCCAGTTAGTCCAAGTCTAAAACTCAACTGAAGAAAGTCTCTATTTGTTACTGTCGTTATTTCGAGGTTCTCGCATTCCTGTTTCTCTTTGAAGCATTATGTCATATTACTACTCTTCGTTCAGCTTATATCTCCTCATTGTATCTGACCTCTTCTATCACATGCCTGGCTTCAACTCTTTAAGTCCAGCTCTGCCGTGTCTCATTTCACCTCAAAGTACTTTCCCTACTTTTTCGTTTTCCCTTCTACCCACTAATCTTAATCGCCGTGGTTGGCTACCTCCCACTCTTTTCACATTGGCTGATGTTTGCACTGAGTCTTAAGATGCAGTAAATTAATGAATAAATGATTGTTCAGAACGAAATGTTCTCACTCGAAGTGTCTAGTTTCGTTACCTGCCTTCTGAGTTCATGCTAGTTCTGAAAATTAGTTGAACTACCAGGACCATTATCATGGCTTGAAGAGATAAGAGGTAGGAGACTCGACGACAACGAGGCCGTACGCAAAGTCAAGGCCTTGGACGCGTGCTGAGAGAGTATTGATTTTTAAAAGCATGGAGACAGTCGTCACCATACCTTGCACCAAGAGTACATAATGTACTCTTGTAATTTGTAAATTTGTAATTTGTAATTTTGTAATTTTTATTGTTTATGGATTCCCCAAAGGCTTTCGCCTATCGAGGGGGTTTCCAAACTTTCCATAATACCAAATCTGTGAAAGAAGTGATGGGCAATAGGTGAGCAAAGAAAGAGAAAAAGACATAGTCTACTCTAGGGCAGAGCTCTCTTGCTTGTGGATCTACATGTACTGAAAAGTCCCAACATCACGTAATATCCAAGGGCGTTATTCACACCGTGTGTGTGTGTGTGTGTGTGTGTGTGATTATTTTTGTGCGTGATAATAATGATTACTTATGAATTAATTTAAAAAGTCATTCTCCTCTCGAGCTCTGTCAGTCGTTCTACTGTCGTGCATAAACGTGGCCTGGTACATGTACTCCTGATAGTATGAGGTGATTTGGGGAGGTTTTTTTTAACGTTGGGCATTTTTCTGAAAATGTGTGAAATCTGCTTTTCTTCCGGCTATTTCTCTGCTCTGCATGGTTGTATCGAAACATAATATTATTGTAATTATTGTACTTGTAAAGTAATTATTATACATGTAGGTGTTGACAAAGAGCCAGTTTACCTCATCTATTTTTTCATTTAGATTTTATTTGAAGGATTCTCCAAAAGAAAATGGATACTTATCGGGGGAGTTTCCTGGAAGGGTGGATGAAACGAAAGGGAAGGCAAAAGGAGCTAGGGAAAATTCTTAGCAGAAACACTGCTCAAGGAGAACTACAGATTATCTTAGATAAACATTAAAAAGAAACTTGGTTAGACACTGATGGAGAACCAATCATTAATTTTTTGGAAGAAAAGGACCAAGGAACTACAAGTTACATTCGAATGTGCACTAACACCACCAGTTACTTGACAATCAGCTCATGTGGTAACATTGCACCACACTGACCAACGGCACTGACGTTCTACAGAGAACTGCCAATCAGCTCTAGCACGTGTCTGATGCGCACTACAACAGCCTTCCAAATTGAAAGGTTCGAAGCAGGGAGTTGTTAAAAACCGGTATTTTCCGACTCCCTTGTTCGAAGTTATCGAGATAACCTCGTCCTCCGTCCTTCACGACTGAGACGTTCAGCTCATGCTTGTCATGGTTACACGCGCCTTCCCCTCCTTGCTATTTCTATAATTTCGAACCTTCCAATTATTAGTTGGAAGGCTGTTGGAGCGTGCACCCAAGACTTGCTAAAGCTGAGTGGCAGCTCTCTGTAGAACGTCAGTACCGTTGGTTAGTGTCGTGCAATGTTATCGCATGAGCTGATTGTCAAGTAACTGATGGAGTTAGTGGACATTCTTGCTTAACTTGTAGTTCCCCGGTCATTTTTCTTCCTACATGTATAAAAAAACCTTGGAGCATTATAATTTCCCTGTCTCTGTCTTTAATATCTCAGCATTTGGTTATTAAATGGTCAAGTTGTTGATCACGACAATCTTCTCCTGAATGGACGAGCAGGGCACAGAAGCGGCTTCCGCAGGACCTTGGGATGAGGCCAGGCATCCCTGAGCCTCGAAAAAGCCCATGTGTGTGTGTGTGTGTGTGTGTGTGTGTGTGTGTGTGTGTGTGTGTGTGTGTGTGTGTGTGTGTGTGTGTGTGTGTGTGTGTGTGTGTGTGTGTGTGTGTGTGTGTGTGTGAGAGAGAGAGAGAGAGAGAGAGAGAGAGAGAGAGAGAGAGAGAGAGAGAGAGATAGAGTGTGTGCATGTGTGTTTGGCTGCACAATTGGAACTGGACATTGATCGCGTGACCTGTAATGCTGCTGCTTCGAAAAGGAGTACGAGTACCGAGATGTCTACCGTACCGTACCACAGTGTACGGCATGGGCCATGTGCGTACTACGCGCGCAGTGTCAAGTGTACGGTACGGGATTGGTGCGTACATGACTGGAAATATTGATTATATAAACCAAAGCAAAAGTCGATGACCCAGCATCGTCATCAGCAGCAGCTTGATCGTCAGAAGCAGCATCTGCAAGCTACAAAAGCAGCATCCTCAGCATCTTCAGCAAGAAGCATCATCAGCATCATCATGGCCGGTTCTACAAAAGAAAGTCTTCCATCTCTGCAAACCAACTACAAACCGCTGGGCAAAGAGGTGAAAGTCAAGGACTTGGATGCGTACTTGGTTGGCCAGGGTACCAGAGCACTGATTCTAGCCTATGACATTTTTGGATTTGGTGTAGCGAACAGCAGAGCAAGAGCTTTCTGTGACCAACTGGCTAATGAAGGGTTCCTGGTGCTCATGCCTGACTTCTTCCGAGGCACAGCGTGGCCGGCGGGCAAACCGGTCGATGACGGCATGGTGACTTGGCTTCAAACCATTCCAGACACCCAACTCATTGACGACGTCCACTCCAAGATCATCCCATATCTTCGCCTACAGCACAGTGTCAAGTCCATCGGCATGGCTGGCGTCTGCTGGGGCGGCTGGCTGGTTCAGAGAGTGTCGTCCTTAGTCGGTGCCCTGTCCTGTGGCGTGTCCTACCATCCGAGCTTGCAAATGGAGGAGACAGTCTATGGCGGTAGCGTGGACAAGATTTTGAGCGATGTCAAGTGCCCGCAGCTTCTCATGCCCACCGGGAACGATCCTAAAATGGCGCAGGAAGGTGGTCAGGTGATCACAAAGCTGAAAGGCTCAGACATTGAGCGTGTGCGCGACGGCAGCCACATTCACGCCTTCCCCGACATGGTGCACGGCTTCATGATGAAGGCGACGGTGGATATTAGTGACGAGAAGGTAATTCGTGACGCCACTTTAGCGTTCCGTCTGTCCGTTGACCACTTCAATAAGTACCTGGTGGAGGAGCCTAGTTATGAACATGTTGCTCCCTCGGTCGCAACTATTCATACACCCCAGTTAGTCCAAGTCTAAAACTCAACTGAAGAAAGTCTCTATTTGTTACTGTCGTTATTTCGAGGTTCTCGCATTCCTGTTACTCTTTGAATCATTATGTCATATTACTACTCTTCGTTCAGCTTATATCTCCTCATTGTATCTGACCTCTTCTATCACATGCCTGGCTTCAACTCTTTAAGTCCAGCTCTGCCGTGTCTCATTTCACCTCAAAGTAATTTCCCTACTTTTTCGTTTTCCCTTCTACCCACTAATCTTAATCGCCGTGGTTGGCTACCTCCCACTCTTTTCACATTGGCTGATGTTTGCACTGAGTCTTAAGATGCAGTAAATTAATGAATAAATGATTGTTCAGAACGAAATGTTCTCACTCGAAGTGTCTAGTTTCGTTACCTGCCTTCTGAGTTCATGCTAGTTCTGAAAATTAGTTGAACTACCAGGACCATTATCATGGCTTGAAGAGATAAGAGGTAGGAGACTCGACGACAACGAGGCCGTACGCAAAGTCAAGGCCTTGGACGCGTGCTGAGAGAGTATTGATTTTTAAAAGCATGGAGACAGTCGTCACCATACCTTGCACCAAGAGTACATAATGTACTCTTGTAATTTGTAAATTTGTAATTTGTAATTTTGTAATTTTTATTGTTTATGGATTCCCCAAAGGCTTTCGCCTATCGAGGGGGTTTCCAAACTTTCCATAATACCAAATCTGTGAAAGAAGTGATGGGCAATAGGTGAGCAAAGAAAGAGAAAAAGACATAGTCTACTCTAGGGCAGAGCTCTCTTGCTTGTGGATCTACATGTACTGAAAAGTCCCAACATCACGTAATATCCAAGGGCGTTATTCACACCGTGTGTGTGTGTGTGTGTGTGTGTGTGATTATTTTTGTGCGTGATAATAATGATTACTTATGAATTAATTTAAAAAGTCATTCTCCTCTCGAGCTCTGTCAGTCGTTCTACTGTCGTGCATAAACGTGGCCTGGTACATGTACTCCTGATAGTATGAGGTGATTTGGGGAGGTTTTTTTAACGTTGGGCATTTTTCTGAAAATGTGTGAAATCTGCTTTTCTTCCGGCTATTTCTCTGCTCTGCAGGGTTGTATCGAAACATAATATTATTGTAATTATTGTACTTGTAAAGTAATTATTATACATGTAGGTGTTGGCAAAGAGCCAGTTTACCTCATCTATTTTTTCATTTAGATTTTATTTGAAGGATTCTCCAAAAGTAAATGGATACTTATCGGGGGAGTTTCCTGGAAGGGTGGATGAAACGAAAGGGAAGGCAAAAGGAGCTAGGGAAAATTCTTAGCAGAAACACTGCTCAAGGAGAACTACAGATTATCTTAGATAAACATTAAAAAGAAACTTGGTTAGACACTGATGGAGAACCAATCATTAATTTTTAGGAAGAAAAGGACCAAGGAACTACAAGTTACACTCGAATGTGCACTAGCACCACCAGTTACTTGACAATCAGCTCATGTGGTAACATTGCACCACACTGACCAACGGCACTGACGTTCTACAGAGAACTGCCAATCAGCTCTAGCACGTGTCTGATGCGCACTACAACAGCCTTCCAAATTGAAAGGTTCGAAGCAGGGAGTTGTTAAAAACCGGTATTTTCCGACTCCCTTGTTCGAAGTTATCGAGATAACCTCGTCCTCCGTCCTTCACGACTGAGACGTTCAGCTCATGCTTGTCATGGTTACGCGCGCCTGGCCCTCCTTGCTATTTCTATAATGTCGAACCTTCCAATTATTAGTTGGAAGGCTGTTGGAGCGTGCACCCAAGACTTCCTAAAGCTGAGTGGCAGCTCTCTGTAGAACGTCAGTACCGTTGGTTAGTGTCGTGCAATGTTATCGCATGAGCTGATTGTCAAGTAACTGATGGAGTTAGTGGACATTCTTGCTTAACTTGTGGTTCCCCGGTCATTTTTCTTCCTACATGTATAAAGAAACCTTGGAGCATTATAATTTCCCTGTCTCTGTCTTTAATATCTCAGCATTTGGTTATTAAATGGTCAAGTTGTTGATCACGACAATCTTCTCCTGAATGGACGAGCAGGGCACAGAAGCGGCTTCCGCAGGACCTTGGGATGAGGCCAGGCATCCCTGAGCCTCGAAAAAGCCCATGTGTGTGTGTGTGTGTGTCTGTGTGTGTGTGTGTGTGTATGTGTGTGTGTGTGTGTGTGTGTGTGTGAGAGAGAGAGAGATAGAGTGTGTGCATGTGTGTTTGGCTGCACAATTGGAACTGGCCATTGATCGTGTGACCTGTAATGCTGCTGCTTCGAAAAGGAGTACGAGTACCGAGATGTCTACCGTACCGTACCACAGTGTACGGCATGGGCCATGTGCGTACTACGCGCGCAGTGTCAAGTGTACGGTACGAGATTGGTGCGTACATGACTGGAAATATTGATTATATAAACCAAAGCAAAAGTCGATGACCCAGCATCGTCATCAGCAGCAGCTTGATCGTCAGAAGCAGCATCTGCAAGCTACATAAGCAGCATCATCAGCATCTTCAGCAAGAAGCATCATCAGCATCATCATGGCCGGTTCTACAAAAGAAAGTCTTCCATCTCTGCAAACCAACTACAAACCGCTGGGCAAAGAGGTGAAAGTCAAGGACTTGGATGCGTACTTGGTTGGCCAGGGTACCAGAGCACTGATTCTAGCCTATGACATTTTTGGATTTGGTGTAGCGAACAGCAGAGCAAGAGCTTTCTGTGACCAACTGGCTAATGAAGGGTTCCTGGTGCTCATGCCCGACTTCTTCCGAGGCACAGCGTGGCCGGCGGGCAAACCGGTCGATGACGGCATGGTGACTTGGCTTCAAACCATTCCAGACACCCAACTCATTGACGACGTCCACTCCAAGATCATCCCATATCTTCGCCTACAGCACAGTGTCAAGTCCATCGGCATGGCTGGCGTCTGCTGGGGCGGCTGGCTGGTTCAGAGAGTGTCGTCCTTAGTCGGTGCCCTGTCCTGTGGCGTGTCCTACCATCCGAGCTTGCAAATGGAGGAGACAGTCTATGGCGGTAGCGTGGACAAGATTTTGAGCGATGTCAAGTGCCCGCAGCTTCTCATGCCCACCGGGAACGATCCTAAAATGGCGCAGGAAGGTGGTCAGGTGATCACAAAGCTGAAAGGCTCAGACATTGAGCGTGTGCGCGACGGCAGCCACATCCACGCCTTCCCCGACATGGTGCACGGCTTCATGATGAAGGCGACGGTGGATATTAGTGACGAGAAGGTAATTGGTGACGCCACTTTAGCGTTCCGTCTGTCCGTTGACCACTTCAATAAGTACCTGGTGGAGGAGCCTAGTTATGAACATGTTGCTCCCTCGGTCGCAACTATTCATACACCCCAGTTAGTCCAAGTCTAAAACTCAACTGAAGAAAGTCTCTATTTGTTACTGTCGTTATTTCGAGGTTCTCGCATTCCTGTTACTCTTTGAATCATTATGTCATATTACTACTCTTCGTTCAGCTTATATCTCCTCATTGTATCTGACCTCTTCTATCACATGCCTGGCTTCAACTCTTTAAGTCCAGCTCTGCCGTGTCTCATTTCACCTCAAAGTAATTTCCCTACTTTTTCGTTTTCCCTTCTACCCACTAATCTTAATCGCCGTGGTTGGCTACCTCCCACTCTTTTCACGTTGGCTGATGTTTGCACTGAGTCTTAAGATGCAGTAAATTAATGAATAAATGATTGTTCAGAACGAAATGTTCTCACTCGAAGTGTCTAGTTTCGTTACCTGCCTTCTGAGTTCATGCTAGTTCTGAAAATTAGTTGAACTACCAGGACCATTATCATGGCTTGAAGAGATAAGAGTTAGGAGACTCGACGACAACGAGGCCGTACGCAAAGTCAAGGCCTTGGACGCGTGCTGAGAGAGTATTGATTTTTAAAAGCATGGAGACAGTCGTCACCATACCTTGCACCAAGAGTACATAATGTACACTTGTAATTTTGTAATTTTGTAATTTGTAGTGTTTAAGGATTCCCCAAAGGCTTTCGCCTACCGAGGGGGTTTCCAAACTTTCCATAATACCAAATCTGTGAAAGAAGTGATGGGCAATAGGTGAGCAAAGAAAGAGAAAAAGACATAGTCTAGGGCAGAGGTCTCTTGCTTGTGGATCTACATGTACTGAAAAGTCCCAACATCACGTAATATCCAAGGGCGTTATTCTCACCGTGTGTGTGTGTGTGTGTATGATTAGTTCGGTGCGTGATAATAATGATTACTTATGAATTAATTTAAAAAGTCATTCTCCTCCCGAGTTTTGTCAGTCGTTCTACTGTCGACTTGTCGTGCATAAACGTGACCTGGTACATGTACTCCTGATAGTATGAGGTGATTTGGGGAGGTTTTTTAACGTTGGGCATTTTTCTGAAAATGTGTGAAATCTGCTTTTCTTCCGGCTATTTCTCTGCTCTGCATGGTTGTATCGAAACATAATATTATTGTAATTATTGTACTTGTAAAGTAAATATTATACATGTAGGTGTTGGCAAAGAGCCAGTTTACCTCATTTATTTTTTCATTTAGATTTTATTTGAAGGATTCTCCAAAAGTAAATGGATACTTATCGGGGGAGTTTCCTGGAAGGGTGGATTAGACAAAAGCGAAGTGAAAAGAGGCTGGGGAAAATTCTTAGCAGAAACACTCCTCAAGGAGAACTACAGATTATCTTAGATAAACATTAAAAAGAAGCTTGGTTAGACACTGATGGAGAACCTATCATTAATTTTTAGGAAGAAAAGGACCAAGGAACTACAAGTTACACTCGAATGTGCACTAACACCACCAGTTACTTGACAATTAGCTCATGTGGTAACATTGCACCACACTGACCAACGGCACTGACGTTCTACAGAGAACTGCCAATCAGCTCTAGCACGTGTCTGATGCGCACTACAACAGCCTTCCAAATTGAAAGGTTCGAAGCAGGGAGTTGTTAAATACCGGTATTTTCCAAGTCCCTTGTTCGAAGT